CAGATAATAGGATACCAAGATGCGGTAAATGACTAGCCCAACAGTCCTCACTGGGAAGGTGCACTGAGATGGTTGTTAGGCTGCTAGCCTGACCCCTCCAGCAACATAAGCCTCAGTGAAAGTGGAAGGTGAAAGTCTCCTTACTATCCACAATGCCACACCAAATCAGAGAAGACCATTTGGGTTTTAAAACCATTACTTGCCAACAAAAACAGAAACATAGATCAATGGAACAAGATAGAAAGCCCAGAGTTAAACCACGCACCCCTGGGCACCTTATCTTTGACAAAGGAGACAAGAATACACAGTGGGGCAAAGATAATCTCTTCAAAAAGTAGTGCTGGGAGAACTGGATGTGTGAACTTTTACATGTATCCAACTACATGTAAAAGAATGAAATTAGAACACCTCCTAACACCATACACAAAGATAAAATGGATTAAAGACCTAAATACAAGACCAGAAACTATAAAAACTCTTAGAAGAAAATATAGACAGAACCCTCTATGACATAAATCATAGCAAGTTCCTCTAGATCCACCTCCTAGAATAATGGAAATAAAAACAAAAATAAACAAGTGGGACCTAATTAAATTTAAAAGCTTTTTCACAGCAAAGGAAACTATAAATAAAGTGGAAAAAAAAAAAAAGCCCTCAGAATGAGAGAAAACAAGGTGGAGAAAAGGGAGCCCTCTTGCACTGCAGGTGGGAATGTAAACTGATAAAACCACTATGAAGACAGAATGGAGATTCCTTAAAAAACTAGGAATAAAACTACCATGTGTGTATTAATCACTCAGTCATGTCCAACTCTTCGTGACCCTTTGGACTGGAGCTCACCAGGCTTCTCTCACCAAGCCTGTGGAAGTCTCCAGGCAAGAATACTGGAGAGGGAAGTCATTCTCTTTTTCAGGGGATCTTCTTGACCCAGGGATCAAACCCAGATCTGCATTGCAGGCAGATTCTTTACCATCTGAGCAACTAGGGAAGCTGAAAACTACCATATGACCCAGCAATACCACTTCTAGGTATATACCCTGAGGAAACCAAAACTTAAAAAGACACATACACCCCAACCTTCACTGCAGAACTATTTACAATAGCGAGAACATGGAAGCAAACTAGAGGTCCATTGATGGATGAATGGGTAACTAAGCTGTGGTACATACATACTATGGAATACTACTCTGCCATAAACAGGAACGCATCTGAGTCAGTTCAATGAGGTCGATGAACCTAAAGCCTATTATACAGAGGGGAGTAAGTCAGAAAGAGAAAAACAAATATCATATATTAACGCACATACATGGAATCTAGAAAGATGGTGCTGATGAACCTACTTACAAGGCAGCAGTGGAGACAAAGACATAAAGAACAGATTTATGGACACAGGCGGGGTTGCTGGGAGGAAGGAGAGGGTGAGATGAATGGAGAAAGTAGCATGGAAGCATAGACACTACCATATGTAAAATGATACCCAAATTTGCTATATGACTCAGGGAACTCAAACCAGGCTCTGTAACAACCTCGAGGGGTGCGAAAGGGTGGGAAGTGGGAGGGAGATTCAAGAGGGAGTGGACATATGTACATCTAATTCATGTTGATGTATTGCAGAAATGAAACCAACAGTGTAAAGCAATTATCTTTCAACCAAAAATGAACAAATTTTAAATAAACTATTACATGCCAAGACCATGTCTTTGTTGAACCTAGTAAACAGTCAGTGCTTCAGTACAGTTCAGTTCAATCGCTCAGTCGTGTCCAACTCTTTGCGATGCCATGAACTGCAGCACACCTGGTGCAGCACACCAGGCCTCCCTGTCCATCACCAACTCCTGGAGTCCACCCAAACCCATGTTCATTGAGTTGGTGATGCAATCTAGCCATCTCATCCTCTGTCGTCCCCTTCTCCTCCTGCCACAATCTTTCCCAACATCAGGGTCTTTTCAAATGAGTCAGCTTTTTGCATCAGGTGGCCAAAGTGGAGTTTCAGCTTCAGCATCAGTCCTTCCAATGAACACCCAGGACTGATTTCCTTTAGGATGGACTGGTTGGATCTCCTTGCAGTCCAAGGGACTCTCAAGAGTCTTCTCCAACACCTCAGTTCAAAAGCATCAATTCTTCGGCGCTCAACTTTCTTCACAGTCCAACTCTCACCTCCATACATGACCACTGGAAAAACCATAGCCTTGACCAGACGGACCACTGTTGGCAAAGTAATGTCTCTGCTTTTTAATATGCTATCTAGGTTGGTCATAACTTTCCTTCCAAGGAGTAAGCGTCTTTTAATTTCATGGCTGCAATCACCATCTGCAGTGATTCTGGAGCCCAGAAAAATAAAATCAGCCACTATTTCCACTGTTTCCCCATCTATTTGCCATGAAGTGATGGGACTGGATGCCATGATCTTAGTTTTCTGAATGCTGAGCTTTAAGCCAACTTTTTCACTTTCATCAAGAGGCTCTTTAGTTCTTCTTCACTTTCTGCCATAAAGGTGATGTCTTCTGTATATCTGAAATTATTGATATTTCTCCTGGCAATCTTGATTCCAGCTTGTGCTTCTTCCAGCCCAGCGTTTCTCATGATGTACTCTGCATATAAGCTGAATAATCAGGGTGACAATATACAGCCTTGAGGTACTCCTTTGCCTATTTGGAACCAGTCTGTTGTTCCATGTCCAATTCTAACTGTTGCTTCCTGACCTGCATACAGGTTTCTCAAGAGGCAGATCAGGTGGTCTGGTATTCCCATCTCTTTCAGAATTTTCCACAGTTTATTGTGATCCACACAGTCAAAGGCTTTGGCATAGTCAATAAAGCAGAAATAGATGTTTTTCTGGAACTCTCTTGTTTTTTCAATGATCCAGTGGATGTTGGCAATTTGGTCTCTGGTTCTTCTGCCTTTTCTGAACCCAGCTTGAACATCTGGAAGTTCACGGTTCACGTATTGTTGAAGCCTAGCTTGGAGAATTTTGAGCATTACTTTAGTAGCGTGTGAGATGAGTGCAATTGTGTGGTAGTTTGAGCATTCTTTGGCATTGCCTTTCTTTGGGATTGGAATGAAAACTCACCTTTTCCAGTCCTGTGGCCACTGCTGAGTTTTCCAAATTTGCTGGCATATTGAGTGCAGCACTTTCACAGCATCATCTTTTAGGATTTGAAATAGCTCAACTGGAATTCCATCACCTCCACTAGCTTTGTTCGTAGTGATACTTCATAAGGTCCACTTGACTTCACATTCCAGGATGTCTGGCTCTAGGTGAGTGATCACACCATCATGGTCATCTGGGTCATTAAGATCTTTTTGGTATAGCTCTTCTGTGTTCTTGCCACCTCTTCTTAATATCTTCTGCTTCTGTTAGGTCCCTACCATTTCTGTCCTTTATTGAGCCCATCTTTGCATGAAATGTTCCCTTGGTATCTCTAATATTCTTGAAGAGATCTCTAGTCTTTCCCATTCTATTGTTTTCCTCTATTTCTTTGCACTGATCACTGAGGAAGGCTTTCTTATCTCTCCTTGCTATTCTTTGGAACTCTGCATTCAAATGGGTATATATTTCCTTTTCTCCTTTGCTTTTCGCTTCCCTTCTTTTCACAGCTATTTGTCAGGTCTCCTCAAACAGGCTTTTTCTCTTTTTTGCATTTTTTTTTCCTTGGGGATGGTCTTGATTCCTGTCTCCTGTTCAATGTCACAAACCTCCCTCCATAGTTCATCAGGCACTCTGTCTATCAGATCTAGTCCCTTAAATCCATTTCTCACTTCCACTGTATAGTCATAGGGATTTGATTTAGGTCATACCTGACGTGGTGTAGCTCCTCTCGGCCGCTGCCCAGTCAGTGCTTACTAATTGTTTATTATTAATATAGCCTTTTAGTAAAAGAGAATCAGTGGAACCGCTACTCTAGCATGCTAGTTAATTCTGTGTAAAAAGAAAGGCTAATCTCTACCTTAAAACATTGTGTTCAATCGCTCAGTTGTGTCCGATTCTTTGCGACCTCATGACTGTAGCTCTCCAGGCTCCTCTATCCATGAGGATTCTCCAAGCAAGAGTACTGGAGTGGGTTGCCATGCCCTCCTCCAGGGATCTTCCCAACCCAGGGGTCAAATGCAGGACTCCAGCATTGCAGGCAGATTCTTTACCAGCTGAGCCACCAGGGAAGCCCAAGAATACTGGAGTGGGTAGCCTGTCTCTTCTCCAGGGGATCTTCCCGACCCAGGAATTGAACCAGGGTCTCCTGCATTGCACGTGGATACTTTACCAGCTGAGCTACCAGAGAAGCCCACTTTAAAACATTAATGATGGAAAGTAAACTGAAATGTGACCAGAAAAAAAAAGAAAGAAACACCTGTCAATATTACTGGTTGGTAAAATTTGTCATCTGCATTTTATAAGGAGGAAACTGTGGCTTAGAAATTATGTGACTTGGTAAACATTTCAATTTTACATAATTAGTTTGTGATTGAGCCAAAATTCCAAAGTCATGTTTATGCCAGTGGGAAGAAGTTGAATACAGTCAGAAGAGGCAGATATCATGGAAAATTCACAATATATATAGAAATGCACTTTACAATGACTTAGCCACTTCTCTCCACATGTTCCAAGCTCATTACCCCTCAATTCAGAGTCTACCCCCTCTTTGGGTCTCCTTGGATGGAAAAGAGCTCTCCTTTTCTTAATTTTCCAATATTCCTCATTCAGATCTGGACACACAGTGCTTTATTGTTAGCTTTTTATAAGTACATGTCTTGTCTCTCCAAATAGACTAGAGCTGGCTTACTTTGAATTCCCCACAGTGTGTCTTGCTGGATAGGGGTTCAGTAGAACCATCTTAGTTTATTAACTACCAGACTGCTCAGCTTAGCTAACGATGGGTTATGGTGTCTTTTTACAGTATCTGAACACTACAGAAACAACAACTGGCTCTTGGTTCAGAGACACCACGTGTTCAACTAAGCTGCCAAGCCAGGATCAAATAGCATGATGCTGAACATAGACATACCTGTAAAATGCAACTCATGATATCAGATGCGATTTTTGCATGGGGAGTGTCTTCATCTTTCCCAGAGGGCCTCAGGTTATGTTCCAAGCAGGAGTCCCAGAGCCCCACAAGGGCCTTTGCGTGCTTTTCAATCGACTCTGTCTCCCTGATGGCTGTTGTAATTCGCGTGATACAGATTTCAACCACTGCTTGGTCATTGTTATTGGTTTGGTAATCCTGTTTGAAAGAACAGGTTCATGTGAAACAATACTCTGGAAAATTACCCTTCAAAGAACCTACAAAATATGAGCTCAATCATAGAGCAAATGGGTTTGCCACAGTGTGGCTAAGGGATAAGGTTGTAAAACCCAATAAAAGACCTTCTTCGTTGGAGATGAGAACCTTGTGGACAAGGTAGATTTGCAAACGTGCTAATATGGAGCAGGTTTGTACTATCACAGATACACAGACAGGGAGCTTAATTATTCACTTGCAAGCAGGCTCAAATTTCATGCTATTTTAGAGTTCATTAGAGGTGAGGGTTTACTTTTGGCTCTGATATTTCAGAAACTTTTGTGAAATGTTTCAATTACCCTACAATTTCTCCTCACGAGCTTTCTCTTTCTGTACACAACAGAAATTTTTCAGCTCTCCCTTTTCAATTAAAATACCCACCAAATCCTTTTAAGTGTTCCCCAACCAAATTTCCCTCTGTTCCCTTGTTTTAATTCTTTCTCAAATACCTAATCATCTTTATTGAGCAATAATATGATCTTATAAAACACTGAAATGTGAAAACTAGGCCCATCACTTTAATTTGGAAAATTGGCCTGACTGTGAACTCTGTGTGGTGGATTAACTCTTACACTGCCATGTACCATTAGAGCCAGAAGCTGATGGGCTCTTCTGTCCAGCTGCAAGTTCCAGCTTGATCTTTTTTCTATTATAACTAATGTTGCAGTAAACATCTTAGGCATGAAACTGTCTCCATGATGTAGATTAGGTATAGCCTAGATTCTTCAGAAGTGGAAATTTCCAAGACAAAACTCAGGAACATTTTAAGGTTTGTGATACACAGTGCCAAACTATTTTCCAGAAAGGTCTTACTAATTTATACTTCCATCAGCTGGGTGAAAGCAAGCCTGCCCATTGTACCTTTGTAAGAACAGAGTATTTTTAATTTTTGGTAATTTTATACCTGAAAAACAGTATCTCATTGCTGTTTTCCATGGAATTTCTTGATCAGAAGTAAGGTCGAATATTTTCAGCATGTTTATTTGCCATTTGTATTTCCTCCTTTGAAAATTTCCCACTGTACTCCATGTCTATTTTTCCTTAGATGACTCCATTTTTTTTTTTTTGGCCCTTCTTTGATGAAATAATATTTTTTCTATCAAGGACATTAAGTCAGCTTTTGACATACTGGTTGTGAATATGTTTCCACGTTACATTATTTTTAGGTTATTTTGCTGATATTTATTGACATGCTAAGGTTTTAGATAGCCAAATCTGTCAATCTTTGGGACTTTTGTTTTCTTTTTTAACTGGAAATTTAAGTTGGTTAGATTATGTTTTTAAAAGATAATACATGAACATGATACAAAAATAAAAAGATACAAAGAAAAGATTTTCAGTGAAAACTCTCCATTTCAGTTCCCTTTCCTGGGGAAACCATGCTCACCAATTTCTCATATTTGACAAGAAAAGTCCAAGTTCATATAAATATCCATCTACACTCACTCCTTTCTTTCTTTGTGATTCCTTTAATAGCTTTTTAAATTTCACATTTTCTTTATTCATAGATCTAATAAAAATTTACCTGTATTTTTTCTACATTTAAAGAAAATGTAACAAAACACTTAATGTTTAGTATTCCAGAAATTAATCTTTTAACCATTCACTTAGCTCTTGAGTCTATCTGGCATTAATGGAAGTAAGCTGCACATTTTCTACAAAGTAGCTAATCTAATTTTTCCATCATTCTTTACTGAATAATTCATTTCCTAGTAATTGTCTTATGTATATATCAGGTTCTATTTCAGGGCTGTCTTTTCTGTTTGTTCAATTTTTCAATTCTACAATACTAATTTTGTTACATTTAAGTTCCACACATTTAAAAAGGTGCTTCCTAGTGTATTTTATGTCTCTATTGTTGCTGTAAACAAAATCTCTGTTTTCCTCATTAGAACTTTTAATGAATTACTGTCCATTATGTCAGCCTACATCATTTCTGTATTTATTTTTTGTTGCGTTTGCCCCTCACTAAGCATTTATTGTTCATAGGCTTGCCCCCATTAGAGCCACAGCAGTGTTACCCACACACAAACCTTGTTGTACAGCCCCCACTGAGGGGCTCCGGCCCGGGTCCTTGGGGGCGAGGCCTGGCCGTGGCGCTGGATGGCTCAGGGTCGGCCTGTCTGCCCCCCTTCTCTATTCCCGCCAGCAGCTCCCCACCCCGCCTTGGACTGCTCCAGTGGGTAAGGGAAGGGCAAGGACTGGTGGGAGGAAAGCAGGTCAGGCTCTGGCCTCTCTCCGCCAGCTGTCCCGGCTCTTCCATGGCCGCCCGGCTGCTGGCTCCTGCCTGAGCTGGGAACCTGAGGCAGGCCACCAAGTCCTCCTCTGTCCTGACAGAAGGCGCTGCGAGTCCACCCTAAGGCAGAAGGCACCGTTCTGCCTCCCTTCTCGGAATGAGAGTCCTGCTGCTCCAGCTGCCAGGAAGCCATTCTGGGGGGGAATGGTCTCTCTTCTGGGCCTCAGAGCTCATTTCCTGCCTCTGGCAGTGGCCCATGAAAGTGCAGCACCTGCCACCCCTCAGGTCTTGCAGGAGAGCCCGGGCGTCACGTACAGGTGGACACCCTGAGGACAGTGAGTTCACGCGCAGTCACCAGCAAGCTAGGAAACCGTGCAAGATGCGCCTTGGCCAGCAGGCTCCAGAACCACGAAGACCCTGCTCTGCCTTCACCTCCTGTAATGAGTATCCACTCTCCCAGGCATAATCTGAATAAATGAAGTTACCCTCCAAGGGCCCTCAGAAGCAAATATTACAACATCACGTGGCTATTTTCAGGACTAGAAAGAATGAGGCTCTGATCTTGGGGCCACGGTGGCTGAGTCCAGGCAAGGGGAGATCACGTCTGCAGTAGGTTGTCTTGCACACTTACCTGAAGACCACAGATGCGGGGAGGCCTTCCACATTCCAGCTGAATTGAAGGAAAATGAAGACACAGGTTCAGGCCAGCACCGCTGTCCACAGGCCTGCCCCTCTGCTCCCCACCGCCTCATCCCAGACCACCAGGGCCCAGAAAGGTCATCGTGGAACCCTCACCACCTGCCAAGCATCGCGGCTTCAGATCAGTAACCATCATTCTTGTCTGTTTCCCAGAAGTGACAGGCCTGGTGTGAGTTGGGGGCTGAGCCAGAGGGCAGGGTTTCCTTCCAGAATCCACTTCCTTATGGCGGACACAGCTCTGGTCAAGTCCTCTCCGGGCGGATTCTGAGGTTGGAAGAGGCTGGAGCCCTGACGGGCGGCCCCTCCCTCAGACCATGCTCAGTGGGCGAAGCCCTGCACACTCTCCTCCAGGGTCCGGCAGGCCTCTGTCTGTGTCCGTTTCTCCAGCGCCGCTCCCGCTGCAGCTCTGCGGCTCCCGCCGCTCGCAGGCCGGCAGCTGGCGCTGGGCCTTGTCCGGGAGGTCAGGCGCGGCCTCAGCTCGCGGCTTCCAGAGCAGGGCGCCGCGCAGCCGGCAGGTTGTACTGGGTGTAGGCTCTGGCAGATGGCGGCGTATAGGCCCAGAGGGTGAGTTCCAGAGGGAACGGCTGCCGCTCTGGCCCCTGCTCGGCTGCAGCCCGCTTCATCTCCCTGGCACCCGGGGGCTCCAGGAGGTCTGAGAAGGCGCTGCTGAGGCCAGGCTCCGGGCTACCCCGGGGGGAGACAGGCAAAGCGGAGGTGCTGGGGCCTCTTGCACAGGTAGGCGGGTAACGCCCGGAGGTAGAGGTGGGGAAGATGGAGCTGCGGGCCCTTGGCCCTCAGAGCGGCCCTTCCGGCCTCACCGGAGCCAGCCGCCTTCAGCGGGGCCAGGTGGGTAACCGAGCCCCTTGGACCTGCTTGTTTGGCACAACCTAGAGAAACAAAAAGACTGCGCGAATTCCCTGCGTCAGCCTGTAGTATCCACTGATTCCCATCAGCGCAAGCAGTTCTCCTCGGAGAGCTTGGGGCAGAAGCAGATGTACTCGGATTCTGGGTCCCACGGGTGCTGGACGCCGGAGTCCAGCGCCGGGGACTTGGCCAGCTGCAAGCCTTGCCTTGGGGTGTCCTTCTGGGCAAACCTGAGGAAGAAGGCGCGGTGGCTCTGCGTCTGGCGTGTGTCCCGCGTGCAGCCTGAGGGCAGCAGGGACGGGGCGCGGCTTCGCCGTGGCTCCCCGTGGAAGTCTCACGGGGGTGCGTCCCGTATTTACGCGTCTTAATTATAATATTTTTTCAGATCACTCTTTTGCGTTTTCTAAAAAGATTTCTGTATTGTGTCTGTACCTTTTATATATCTCATGGCTCATTGTGTCAGAATTTCCTAAGCTATTACACATAGAAACAACAAAAGCAAGAATGCTGGTTTAGTTTCTGGTTTTAGTTCCTGATTTTTAATATAAAGTTTATGGTCAAAAGCAACAGAATACTGTAAATGTTTTAAATGATAGAGGATGCACCACTTTCTTTTTCTTTGAAAGTTTAAATATTTGTCCAAATTTTAAAAAATGTCCTCTCAGCATCTAAAGAGGTAACCAAGCATTTTTTTCCTAGATGGCTTATGGATGTGAAGTTTTATGTTATCGTATAGAATGAAATTTCCGGATGTGCATCCATCACCACATTCCTAAAAAGAATACCACTTGGTTTGGTGGACTGTTTAGTATATTTTCTTTTACCTTTCTCCTTTGTTGGTGACTGTGTTCTTTTATTTTAATGCAGCAAAATTATTAGTATTACTTGTGCCAGAATCTATACAGCAAATAGTCACTTACAGAGTCAAATCATAGGAAAAAGTGGAATATTAGAGGGCAAAGTAATGATGCTGACTTTTCAAAAAACCTCTACCACAACAGAAAAACCAAAACCATCCTTGTGGGTGAAAAATAACAGAGAATGCCTTTGGGCTAAAATCACTATCTTTGGCCATAACTATTCTTGTAAAAAGCAGTTATTTTAACGGCATCATCTTGAAACATGAAGCAACATCATCTTGGTT